GAGGCCTAGCAAAAATGTACGTTGGTGGCTTTGGCCCCAGTAGTTCCTTTCAGGTATTTTTAATCAAACTATTATGACACATCTGGACATGAATGAGTGAATGTATTAGCTTTGTTATCATATGTACTCAAATGAATACGGTAAAAAGTTTACAAGTCGCCACTTACTGCGCCATCTCAGGTAGAAGATATCCAGGCACAGTATTTGGTATAAAACAGACAATATACTTGTGTAATATACTTGTATTTGGTATAAAATAGAGAAAAAAGTCTCGCATAAAAATAAAAATGAATTTTTTTGTTAAAAGTAGTCAATTTACAGTCCTTTCATGCCATTATGTGCAGAGACCTAGGCTCCAAACCACACGAGGCAAAGTCTCCAGACCATGCCAGGCTTCAAAACATGAGGCCTCACCTCCAGTCCTCAAAGGGTTTTGCCTGTCTGCAATGGGGACTCGCCTCCCTACAAAGGCCTCCAGTCCAGGGACTTGCCTCCAGTTCACATTGGGGACTCGCCTCCCCACAAAAGCCTCCAGTCTGGGGACTCGCCTCCAGTTCACACTGGGGACTCGCCTCCCGATAAAGGCCTCCAGTCCACGTGCTCACCTCACTTCCACTCCCAACTGATTCCATCTGACATGGCAGACTCTCAGCCCAGCATGGCAGTCTTTCTGCTTGGAGTGGCAGTCTCCTGGCCCAGCATGTCTGTCTCAACCCAGTGTGGCTTCAGTATCAACTTCTGATTTCAGGATGATTCCAGAGCAGTCTCCCAGCCTCTGGAGCCTCAAGGTGAAGCCTGGCATGATCTGGAGTCAAGGCCTGGTGCAGACTAGAGGCTAAGTGCCAGCATGGAATGGGTTTGGAACTTTTCTAAACTTTTTACTTTTCTAATTGATTCATATGATCTGTGTTGCTGGACTTTTTATTTCTTTATTTTCCTAATTTTTTCCCCTAAGATTTTGTATTTATGAATCTGTGCCTAGGTACCTTTGTACTTAAGATGGGTGCCATAAATGGCAACTTGTAAACTTTTCACTGTATTCATGTGAATACATGTGACAATAAAGCTAATTCTAATTCTATTACACTTACCAATTTTACAGCATGTACAATTTTCAGACAGCAGTCAGTGATGGCTCTGTGATTCTCATTGGCGTCTCCTCTGAACCCATCTACTACTTTATTACCATCCCTTTTGTCTTCCACTATCATCTCTTTTCCATTCAATCTCTCCTGTCTTCCACTATTCCCATTGTCAATTGATGTAAAACCCATCTGGTTCACTAATGCCCTTCAGGGAAGGAAATCTGCAGTCCTTACCTGGTCTGGCCTACATGTGACTCCAAACCCACAGCAATGTGGTTGATTCTTAACTGCCCTCTAAAATGGCCAAAGAAGCCTTTCAGTTCAAGGGTAATTCGGGATAGATGAAAAATGCTTGCCTTGGCAGTTGCACCTACAGAGCACGAAAGGATAAAGAAAAAATGCTTCATTAGAGATTGTCCATTTTGTTCTCACCCTTCCCTCACCTCTGGACTTGTTTAAAATCTGTTCCATCATTAACATTTTCCCATTCTGATGAAACATTAAGATACTGCCAGACCTCCTGAGTATTTTTAGCACTTTCTTGTTTAAGTGCAGATTTCCAGCATCTGCACAATGTTGCTTTTCTAATAATGCTATTGTTAAATGTTATTTTGTTTAATTCCCCTTGGTTGTATACTATTGTACTGTATTGTATTGTTCTCTTTAGTTAAGGAAGGATGTAAGTGCATTAGGAACAGTTCACAGAAGGATTGCCAGACCAACAACTAGAATGGAATAGGTTGTCTTATTAGGAAAGGTTGGACTGGTTAGGATTTAATCTCCACTTGAGTTTAAAAGAGGTAACTTAACTGAAACATATAAGATGCTGAGAGGTCTTTATAGGATGAACATAGTAAGTATACATCCTTTTGTGAAGAATCTAGAACCGGGAGTCATAGTTTAAAAATAAGAGCGTTGGGTTATCAACTTTGGAATGATGTCCTTTTTAAGAGCTTAATTCATAAATAAGCCAAGTATCCAGATGTTGTCACATAACTGCAGTCTTTCTGCACTGTAGTACCTTAGGCACAGGCTGTGTCTGGAAATTAGACTTAGAATCCCTACAGCGTGGAAACAGACCCTTCAGCCCAACAAGTCCACACCGATGCTCAGAGCATCCCACCCAGACCCATCCCCCGTAACCCACCTAATCTACACATCCCTGAACACTACAGGCAATTTAGCATGGCCAATCCACCTTGCCTGCACATCTTTGGACTGTGGGAGGAAACCCACACAGACAGGGGGAGAACGTGCAAACTCCACACAGACAGTTGCCTGAGGGTGGGATTGAACCCAGGTCCCTGGCGCTGTGAGCCACTGTGCCATGCTATTACTCTATATTGTACATATTAGCTTAGCTGTAATTAAAGCCACCAGCAATCCTCATGTGGACAGAATCCACATTCCTCGTTTCGATTACAGATCACCAAAATGATATATGGACTCTTTGACTTACATTAATTTTACAATTTCTATCTGTGTATAACTGCAGTTACCCAAAGTTTAGGTGCTTTTGCTTGTAGCATTCAAGGGATATCTTTGAAGAAAAATGTTGCATTATCGATTTTGGAGCAACGTCCCTTTAAAAGATCAACTTGATAATGCCCCGTGTACCCAGATGTTGTCACATGACCACAGGCCGCAGGATCGCTGCACTACAGCATTAGAGGTACAAGCCACATCTACAGATTCCCCACTGTATACATTAATTTAGAAGATAAACAAGACCACCAGAGAACTTCAGTTAAACAGAATCCATGCACAATAAACTTTTTTATTAGCCAGCACCTTTGGGACCAGGAATGTGCCAGTTGATCAAATACTCCAGAAAATCAAGAGGTCTACATAATCAATGTAAAAACACACACTAAATAACAGAAATGTAATGCAAGGTGTACACATGTCATGATGAAGTGAGGGATCTTTGCCTTAAATAAAACTTACTGCCACAGAGTCTTTTCACTTGCACCCTCAACTGACTACTCGGACATGGTAGCAGATCACGGTATTTGAGGAGAAATTGACTCAAAATTGAATCAGCTGTTGACATTTCGTGTAGCCATTTGATTGAACAACGAGTATATTTACATTGAGGTAAATACATTTTAAAAACTGTAATAATTGGGCAGAATAATACAGTAAACTTTGTGGTATTTGAGGTTATTATAATAGGTTATTATGATAATTAAGGATGTCAGTTCATAAGGTGCCAGCTAAAACAAAGTTTCGCTGTACCTTGTTTGTGTTACACAATGCAATCAATTGGTTAAAACACAAGGTTACCCATTTAAGACAGAGATGAGGAGAAATATTTTCTCACAGAAGGTCATGAGTTTTTGGAGCTCACTTCCTCAAAAGGTGGTTGAAACAGAGGTTTTCAATATATTTAAGACAGAGTTGGATGGATTCTTGATAAGCAAGGGAGTGAAAGGTTTTCTGAGTCAGTGGGAATATGGAGTAATCAGTTCAGTTTGTATGCTTCATGCTGAGGAATCTCGCCAAATTTACAGTGTGCTACTGATGTTACATACTCGAGCTGCATAAAGATTTGCTAAATGTACACCTGGAAGGTGTTTTCAGTTTTGATTTTGGAAGTGGTGAGAAAGAGTGGTTCCCCAGCTTGACCCCCAAGATCAGAGCACTTCAGATGTGAAGGGGGATAATTGAGAAACCCCTTGAATATACATAAAATACTATGTAGACATGATTGCAACACAAAGGGACATCGATACTAGTAAAAAGATAATACAGGATAGAAAACAAATTGCAATTACGTAGCACTTTCAAGTCCATAGGACACCCAAAGCTAATGAATACGTTTTGAAATGTAGTTTAAATTAGTACATAGTCAAAAATTGCAGGAATCTGCACACAATAATGACAGAAATGACAAACTAAATTGGTTTTGGTGATATTGCTTTCAGGATAAATGTTGGTCACATCATTGGGTGGACTGTATTGCTCTTCAAATAATGTCAATAATCTTTAACATCCATTTGAACATAACCATTGGTTTAATGAATCATCAAAGAGTGAGCACCTCTGATAATCCAGCATTCTATATGGTGTTGCAATGTCAGCCTGTAGTACATGTTTAAGATCTGCAAAGTTGTTTTAATACGAATCCAGGGTGCTACCACTGAACCAAGGCAATACTTGAAGTTGAATTTTCCCAGCTCTGTTGACACAGGGTTGGGGAAAGGCGGCAGGACCAGGAAAACAGAGAGGAGCTGCTCCAGGATAGGTCCCCAATGTGTTCCCACCTCCAAGTCAGGCAACAAATCAGATTCTGCCCACTCTGCAGATGTGGGCAACCAATTGTGGAAAATGAGACCCCACTTAGGGGCCATGACATCAACGTTCATTCAATTTTGGAGAAGTCCGCTGCCTCATTTGGAGGCCACCAGCTCCATTGATGCAGCTCCTCAGTGGCAGACCAGGGCCATCAGAGGCAAAGACTCCAGACCTTAATGACAGAGCCACAGGGGCAGTGTGCACAATTTCCTCTGTCTCTATTCCCAGTGAGTAACTTCACCTCCATCCCAATGGCCCTACTGGCTTCAGATCTCTTTATTTGATGATATGAATGCAGACAGCTGAGGCCATCACTTCCTGAGACACTTCTGCAGCCTCTTACCTACCTCAGCAATACTCACAGCAACATTACAATAGAATGTACAGTTTGTTAGATACGAAGAGTGCATAGAGCGGAGTACCAGTCAGCCAGAGGGAAAGAAAACAACAATAGTTGAAAATAAATGTATTGTCACACTGAAGTTCCACTTTGAAGTATACAAATTGAGTTGGATATCTTATTTGCAAATTTTGCTTGTTTTTCCTTATGCAACACTTCATTATAACACTACTTTCCATTTCTAATCTTTTGATGTCTCTGTTGCTTTCAAATTTCAGTTAATCCCAGCACTCAGGAAGCAGAAGAATTGCAGGAAGATGGGCTGAAGTGTCTAAACAATTTGGCAGCTGCCCAGCTGAAGTTGAACCTCCGAGATGAGGTGATTGCTTCCAGTAACGCTGTCCTGCAGCTGGACCCCAATAATGTGAAAGCTTTGTTCAGGAAAGGAAAAGTTGAGTATTGAGAACTCCCCACCAGCATTTCCCTACTGTGTGAATTCACGTTGTGTGGGTTTTCCCATTTGTGTGAACCTCTTCCATCCCTTTATTTACGGAAGCTGAAATAGAAGGGGGGCAATGACCTAGTGGTATTATCACTGGACTATTAATCCAGACACCCCATTAATGTCCTGGGAACCCAGGTTCGAGTCTCGCATGGCAGAGGGTGGAATTTGAATTCAATTAAAAAAAGTTCTGGAATTAAAAGTCCAATAATGACTATGAGTCCATCGCCGATTGTTGGGAAAAGCTCATCTGACTCACTAATGTCCTTTAGGAAAGGAAATTGCCATCCTTATCGTCCCATCCTACATGTGACTCCAGGCCCACAGCATGTGGTTAACTCTTAACTGTCCTCTGGGCAATTATGGATGGGTAATAAATGCTGGCCGAGCCAGCAACACCTTCATCCCACGAATGAATTTTAAAAAAAACTCTACAGAGGCTGTATCCTGTCAACAAGTCACCCTTTATTTATAACACAGTGTGGAGGCGGAGGAACACAGCTGGCCAGGCAGCATCAGAGGAGCAGGAAAGCTGACGTTTCGGGTCGGGACCCTTCTTCAGAAAAAGGGACCCCTTATTTATACTTGGAGAGTCTTTGACACTGATCCAGCTCCCTCAGAGCCAGCTCTCAAGAGCGAGCAGAACCCCTGACACTCCTGTTTCTGTCAGCCAGGCCTCCCTGTTTGGACCAAGTTAACAGCTCGAATCAGGGACCTCATATTCTAGACAAAAACAGAAGTTGCTGGAAAAGCTCAGCAGGTCTGGCAGCATCTGCGAAGGAGAAATCAGAGTTAACGTTTTGGGTCGAGTGAAGCTTCCTCAGAACATTCTATGACGTCCACCTGGCTGACCTTGTTACAATCACTACGGAAGCAATACCCCATCTATTTTAATTAATCATCCCTCCACTAGACAGGGAATCATAGATCAGCTACATCACAGGAGAAAGCCATTCAGTCCTTTGTATCTGTGCTAGCTCTCTGTTATTTTTTTCTCAGTCCCACTCCCCTGCCTTTAAATGCTGGCAGAAAGGAAGGGAAAGGGAACATCTTACCAACATATTTGGTATTCACTAACTATCATTCACCCAGTCTAACATCAAGCAATTAGTAAGAGTTAAAAATGAACCTCTATTTCAGAAAATATGTAGTATTTTTTCTCTCACTTCAGGTTTAAGGCATCAAAGCCTCAACTGAATTAATAGGGTCTCATCTATGTTATCAAACCACATACTTGTTAGGTGATTCACTTTACTTGTAAAGTAATTTCAAGCACTGTTCCTGGGACTGATGGACAATTAAATGGATTTTGTTTGTGCATACGTAAATGTTTCATGCCTAAAGATCACTCACCGTTGGCCCTGTTTCTGCAGGAAGCTTAATGTGCTCTGCTTAAACTAAAAGATGGTGGAGTAAACATTGTTTGCTGCCATTTTGATGACATAAAATGGGCATAAAATGTTCAATTTCAGACACCAACTTGCTGCATTCCAAGGACTGATATTTTGTCTGAAATTAACTTATTTTCCTTGCAAATGTCAACAGAGGGTTAATGAAACAAACACAGAGAATGCTGGAGAAACTCAACAGATCTAGCAGCTACTGTAAATAGAAATTCAGAGTTAATGTTTCAGGTCTGGTATGTCTCTCTCCACAGATGTTGTTGGACCTGCTGAGTTTCTCCAACGTTCTCTGTGTTTGTTTCAGATGTGGCACGGTGGATCTGTGGTTAGCCCTGCTGCCTCACAGTGCCAGGGACCTGGGTTTGACTCCACCCTTGGGTGACTGTCTGTGTGGAGTTTGCACATTCTCTGCGTGGGTTTCCTCCCACAGTCCAAACATGTGCAGGCTAGGTGGATTGGCCATGCTAAATTGCCCGTTGTGTTCAGAGGTGGGTCTGGGTGGAATGTTCTGAGGGTCGGTGTGGACCTGTTGGGCCGAAGGGCCTGTTTCCACACTGTAAATATTCTATGATTTCCAGAACCTGCAGTATTTTGTTTTCAACTGAGGGCTAATGCCTGCTTTAGATACCCTCTCAAAAGCTAACATTGGGCCTATCCAGCTCATATTTTTTCAGCAACCAGCCCTGCGGCCTAAGTAACATCTGCCAACTAAAGATACTTGCCAGAATAAAACCTGGTCCCTCTGCTACTGTCCTAACCCCAGAGCCCCCCATCTCCAACATGTCAGGAGGCAGGTGGCCTTTTGGGCTTTGATAAGGGGTCATCTGCTGTTGCTGGCTCCACAGCTGCTGGATTAGGCAGATGTGTTCCAAGGCTTGAGGCCAAATGCAGGCCAACCACAAGTTTCCTGGTTGACGTGCACTAAATGTGGTCATTGTATCAATTTATTGACATGGTCATCAAGTGTTTGCTGCCTGAGATTTTATAGAAACCCATTTCTCTCGTTTCAAAAGATCCAGCCATTTATAGATATCAGGGTATTAGGTTTGTAGGATTAGAAATGACGACTTTGCAAAATGTTAAGACCAAGAATCTTCCAAAGGTACAATGCTTGCCAGGCTTTTTAATGTGTGAAATACAACTTAATGGCTCTTTTCACACACAACACAACGTGGTTGAAATATTTGAGTACGCAATTTTCCATTGGTCAGTGTCATAACAAAGTAATCCACATGACCTCTCCCCATTTCCAACAGGAAGGGAAAAGAATGGGTCAGATGCTGAATATCCTTGCTTTCTTATGGAAATCTAATCCTAATGTAACAATCTTCTATATGCATGTTGCATATTCATATCTTTGTACAAAAATACAAGTAAATTTACATCACATATTTAGCTTTCCTTCTTGCCCTCTCCTGATTTATAATTTGTTTTCCACAAGTGTAAAATCCTCTCAGCTTTAAGCATGAAACGTTTGACGCTGAATGTTAATCAGCAACTTGCCTTACGGTTGATGAGATTACCGAACACAATATTTTTCAGTTTCAAAATCTTGCTACACCTCAGCTCCGCAGTAAGCACATTTGCCCGAAATATAAGGAAGCTCTTTCTCTGGCCCAGAGAACGTGTGAAACAGTGTTACGTCCTGATATGTATCTCCAAGCCCACTTCTCTGAAACAAAAACAGAAATTGCTGGAAAAGCTCAGGAGATCTGGCAGCACCTGTGAAGAGAAATCAGAGTTAATGGTTTGGGATAGAACATAACAACATAAGAAATTGGATTAGGTGCGGGCCATCTGGCCTGTTGACCCTGCTCCACCATTCAGTAAAATCATGGCTGATCTTTTCATGGACTCAGCCCCACTTACCTACCCACATCTATTACCCTCCCTGCTTCTATCTTCCCTTCATAATTTTATATGTTTTTATGGGTTCAGTAACCCTTTCTCAGAACGGATGGTAGCTAAGAAAATGTTGGTTTATATGCAGAAGACAGGGTGGGTGGAGGAGGTAAGGTGTAAACAATAGGGGAGATAGAGCCTAAAGAGAGAGAAGAACAGTTGGACAGACGAAGGAGTGGATAACGGTCAGCCTGGGAGAATGAATAGCTATTACTGGATTCTCTACAGATGCTGCCAGGCCTGCTGAGCTTTTCCAGCAATTTCTGTTTTTGTTTCTGATTTCCAGCGTCCACAGTTCTTTCGGTTTTTATTTAGTACCTTTCTCTGAAATCTAAGCACAATACATTTCAACCAAATCAATGTATTATGCCTTGTGTTCAAACTTAAATTTGATAGGACAGATGTTCTTGCCTCTATAAAGTGTGCATTAGCCTACATATTATCCATTCCTAATTCTCTGTTGCCTGGAGTTCTGTTTCCATGTGGAGTCAATGCCAGGGTATATCAGTTTAAAATGCCATATGGTTGGGAGGCAGATTGCAACTTATTGGGCTATTTATCCCTCAATCTCGGTCTCTTATCTTTCACTTTATGAGCGTTTAGACAAATTGATTTATTTTTGATGAGTTACTTTTCTTCTGTGTTAATCAGAAACAGATGGTGTCTTGGTTCCAAGCTAACTGCATTGACAGTTCTTTAATAATTTACAGATTTGCATCTGTAACCATCCGACATGGAAAAGGAACCATTGACCCTGTAAGGTTGTCTGAAGGAGGGCTTGAGTTCCGACAAGCACAACCCACAAGGATTTTTATCCATGGCTTGACATCAGTAATTTTGGCAGGAGCTCATAACTTCAACTGCCCATTGTGGCATTCTGATCCACAACAACAAACAAGAAACTTGGAATCTTCCGCTTGGGAACACTACAGTCTTGTGGACTCAATACTGAGTTCAACAATTTTAGGGTTTGAGCTTCTCCCATGTCTTTACCCGAAACCCCACACACCAGGCCTTGTTATCACATGGTCTGCTATTACACACAACCCATTGTTTGCCATCAAGAGTTCCCATTAATAGCTATTCACCCTCCCAGCCAGATCATTATTCACTCTGTCAAACTGTTGTCCTCTCTCTTTGGGCTCTATCCCCACCTATCATTCACTCCTTTCCCCCTCCCCCCACCCTCTCTTCTGCATAAAAACTAACAATTTCCTAGCAACTATCAGTTCTGAGGAAGAGTCACTGGACCCAAAATGTTAACTCTGACTTCCCTTCACAAATGCTGCCAGACCTGCTGAGCCTTTCCAGCAATTTCTGTTCTTGTTTCCGATTTCTAGCATCCACAGTTCTTTTGGTTTTTAAACAAGAGACCTCTCTCTCCTAAGTCAGGAATTATCTCATGTCACTCCTCAGAATGGCACTTGTCTCCCTTCCACCTTTGTTGATTTGTTGTATTCACCTGAACATGATTTGATAAATTTACACATTGATTCTGGATGAGGAGGACCATTTGGCCTATCTTCTGGCACCCACACAGCATCACTCTATAGTCCTTCCATCCCTATCATTTCCTTAGTGATTCCCCAACTTTCTCCTCCAAGACACTATCATTCCAAGTGTTGATCACTCTTTGTCTAAAGATTTACTGACATAGTCCTGAATTTGCCTTTCAATAGATTGCACTTGTACCCCTATATCCTATACTTACAGTTTAATATTTTCTTCCTGAATTTGCTGTTTTCTGACACTCAGCCTTTTGGGTCTGCTGTATTGCAAATATATCTTGACTGATCTGTATCTCAATCCCATTTAGTCCAGCTTTGCACCTCATCCTTTATTTTTCTTGCCCTCATTTCACCTCCAGCATTTCGAGAATTCTGGACAAGAGAGTTCCAGATTTACTCTGCTTTTTATGTGAAGATGCATCTTTTCATTTCACACAGGAAAGATTCAGCTCTAATTTTGAGATGATCATAGAATCCTTGTAATGCGGAAGGAGGCCATTTGGCCATCAAATCCACACTGACCCTGTAACCCTCCATTGCCCCTGGCTGACCCTCCTAGCCTGCACATCCCTGGATACTATGGAGAATTTAGCATGGCCAATCCACCTAACCTGCACATCTTTGGACTGGAGGAGGAAACCAGAGCACCCGGAGGAAACCCATGCAGACACAGGGAGAATATGCAAACTCCACGCAGACAGTTGCCCGAGGGTGGAATTGAACCCAGGACCCTAGCGCTGTGAGGCAGCAATGCTAACCACTGTGCTGCTCTTGTTGGCCCCTTATTCTGGATCTTTTCACCAAAAAAGTGTTCTATAACCTCACCAACATCAAACCATGTTTCTCCTGCATCCTGTTGCTGATATTTAACTTTCTATCTCTATCTTCGCATTCTAGTTTTTACAGTCATAGGAAATAGTTTCTATCCAATCTATCCCTTTTTTTGTCATTTTAAGCATGTCTCTGTCCATCCAGCAGCCCAGGCTTGTCATGTCTGTGTTTCACACCAGTATTTCCTCATTCCAGGCAGCATCTTAGCAAAGCTGTATTGCAGAATGTCTGAATCCACAACATCCTTCCTCTTGCTTGGATATCAATACACAATACTCCAACTGTCACCTTATCAAGGTTGGGCATAGATACATTATACAACTTCTTTTGAATATATTCTGTAATTTCGGTCAAAAGTCCCAGTATATTCCCCCATTCTCAATCATCTGAGAAGCAGTGTTTTAATATCTTGTGAAACTAACCTTGCCCAATCCCTTCTGCTCTTTCACATTAACAGGCCTGGCCATTCAATATGTAATTATTTCTTCCTATTTTTTCACTGAAATTTTAGCACCTCGGTCTTAATGGCATTGAAATCATTCTGTCACATTTTACCAACTGCAAATTATTAGCATCCCCTTTCAGTTCAGATTTGTCCTCAAAATTGGGTCCCCATATTGGAGTCATCTATAAACATGGAGATGTTTGTCTCCAGCTCTCCATTCGTGTCCAGTGATCAGCTGTAGAACATGATACATGGGGCAGCATGGTGGCTCAGTGGTTAGCACTGCTGCCTCACAGTATGGGTTTGATTCCAGCCTCAGGCGACTGTCTGTGTGGGGTTTGCACATTCTCCCCGTACCTGTGTGGGTTTCCTCCGGGTGCTCCGGTTTCCTCCCACAGTCCAAAGATGTGCAGACTAGGTGGATTAGCCATGGGAAATGCAGGGTTAAAGGGATAGGGTGGGGGGGTGAGTCTGGGTGGAATGCTCTTCAGAGAGTCAGTGCGGACTTGATGGGCCGAATGGCCTGCTTCTACACTGTAGGGATTCGATTCTATGACTGTCAATCTGTAGCCATTTGAGAACCACCCTTGAACTCTCACTCTCTGTTGCTGCTATTCTCACAGTTTTTAAATCAAATTGCCAGCTTTCCCCAATTTCAAACCCCTTAATCTTCTTAAATAGTTTCTCATGTGCTACCCTGTTAAGGCTTTCTGAAAATCCACATGCAGCATGACCATTGCAAATCCCCCCTCCAGCTAAACTGCCTCTTTCCACTAAGAACTGTATTAGTCTGGCCAAATGTAATCTTCCTTTCTGTAATCTGTAATTTTAACAATTGTCTCGTTATCTAGACATCTGGAAAATTTATCTTTAATAGAAATGTCATTGTTTTACCCTATCACTTCTAGCCCAGGTTTTGTCTGGGTTAGCTCTGCCTGTCCTTTTGGATCTGGCAGCTGCATTGTCAGGAACAGCTAATGAAAGGAACGGGAATGGCTGAAGACAGACTTTAATAGACTCAATGGTTCAGCAAAACACATCAGCTGACATAGCAGGCACACAGAGCCCTACGGTGATGGGAAAATGATGACAGGGACTGATACAGGATGCCACTGGGGGCTTTCAGTCACCAGACCTCAGGGCAATGGTCACTTTCCAACTTGAACTGGTAACCTCCTAAAGCGACAAGAACAGCATTTGTGAGTACGGCCCTGCTCATCTTAATCCAGGAAACAAGGTAAGGAACTCTGCACACAACCTCCCCTCCCCACACTGCCAACTCATTGTTCCTGACACTACACTCAGAACATAAAGAAAACTCAATCTCAAAAGGACAGTTGACACTCAGCTATTGAAACAAGAACATAGAGTCATAGAATCCCCACAGTGTGGAAGCAGGCCATTCAGCCCTTTCAGTCCACACCGACCCTCCGAACAGCATCCCACCTAGTTCCATCCTATCCCTGTAACCCAGCAATTTTTCTTTATTCATTCATGGATGAGGGTGTCACTGGCTAGCCCAGCATTTATTGACCATCCCTAAGTGACTCACATTGCTATGGGTCTAGAGTCACATGTAAGCCAGACCGGCTAAGGATGACAGATTTCCTTCCCTAAAAGACCATTAGTGAACCAGATGGGATAGCAAGAACTGCAGATTCTGGAGTCAGAGATTACAAAGTGTGCAGCTGGAGAAAATTTTCTGAAGAATGATCCCGACCCGAAACGTCAGATTTCCTGTTCCTCTGATGCTGCCTGGCCTGCTGCGTTCCTCCAGCTCCACACTGTGTTATCAGTGAACCAGATGGGTTTTGTCCCCCAGACAATCAAGAATGGAATCATCATCATCAGGTTCTTAATTCTAGATTTCATTTTTACTGAATTCAAATTTCACCATCTGCCACGGTGGGATTTGTACCTACGTCCCCAGAATTTATCTGGGTTCCTGGATTAACAGTCCAGCTATAACACCCCTAGGCCATCGCCTCCTCACTTTCCCATGGCTAATCCACCCAGCCTGCACATGATGGGCAATTTAGCATGGCCAACCCAACTAAACTGCACATCTTTGGACTGTTGGAGGAAACCAGAGTACCCAGCAGAAATCCACACAGCCACAGGGAGAACATGCAAACTTCACACACACAGTCACCCAAGGCTGGAATTGAACCCATGTCCCAGGCGCTATGAGGCAGCAGTGCTAACCGCTGGGCCACCATGCCACCCATGTCTAGACATTAGCACAAGATCAGAGGGTAGAACAGCCTCGTAATCATTCGTTACACTGTCCACTCCCCAGTCCTCCAGCACACATCCACATATCTGTCCTTTCCAGCTTGTGCTTTTCCCATTTCCATCAAGTTGTTTGAATATGTCCCATCAGCTCCTAGAACAATGTCCTCCTTCACTTCAACACTTCGCGGATGAAGCTTATATTTGACAGTAAGAATTTGAAACTGAGAGTTTTGCGGAGGTGAGGATGAGGGTTCAGGAGGAAAGAGGATTATGTTGATTTACTTCAGAGTTTGAACTGGCTACACTCAAGCAGTGAACCGAGAGAAACACTGGCTGGAACAGTTAATGACCTTTTGCTCACCCCGGATAATAATCAACGTTGAGTTGTACATCACTGTGGCTCTAAAAGTCCCTTGAAGCCATTGCAAATGACTTTTAAAATTCAATTTCCACACACATTTAATCAGGCAAAATACAAATGCAGTCTACCCATCAAAACAAACGCAACAGTAATGGCCCAATTTATTTTTGGTGAGTCAAAATGATTCATTCTGTTTTTCCGATCTTGTTGCAGTTGTTATCTGAACGGGGTGACTATGAGGAAGCTATGGAGACACTCAAGAGAGCACTGAAACTTGAACCAAGCACAAAGGTAAATAAATGCATTAAACCTCAATGTAACCTTTTACACATATACAGAAGGAAGTTAGTTTCTGCCTTCAAAGGAGATTACAGATGACATGTTTCAGGGTAGAGTGCTAATACAAACAGATGATGCTGAGCAGGGATTGGGAATGTGTATTTGTACAATCAGATTTGATTACGTCAAAGCTTCCTTTTAGTCTCTGGGTAATGATGGTTCTTTACTATTCAATGGACCAAATCCTCGACTCTGATACAAATCATTTGGCTATCTTGGCTCAGATATTTAATCAGTACCACAATATTGTTGACAAAAATCTGCACAGGGCTGTGAACTTTGAGTAGCAAGTAAGATTGGTACTTTGCAAAATAGCATTTTTTTTCTCCCATACAGATTCAGCAAATTACATCCCATGTAAAGCAGAATGGTACAGATGCAAAGCTATCTGAAACAAACTAGATGTGTTCCATCATTTCTCTTTCTGCACACCCTCAGGGTTCTTAAGCTGGGACAATTAGTTGGACTGCCTGCACTTAAAGTACAAGCTGTTATCCGCAGAGAGTTCAAGATTATCCACAGGTCAAGTTACTGAGCACTTTAATATACTCAGAGACTTGTTGTTACAAATAGACATTGGAACAAGCAGAACTAACAAAAACAGACATGAAACATTAATCTATTATTTTACATTCATTTTGGATCATTGTTGAAAACATTGTAATAGAAGGGGATTATTATCAGACAGGCATTTACCAGATTGCTCCAATATTACAAAAGTCTCTACAGAGCCTTTGGCTTTATTCATTGTCTGGCAATTACATCTTAGGTTTATTGTGTTGTTTCTGCAGACTGTCTGGTATCAGTCCTGCTGTGTTCTCCAGTCTGGATTAGGCACACAGTTCAGACTAAACTTAACAGGGCCTCCATTTTAAACTAATCCATTGACTGGGTGAGTTACAACTGAATGCCCCTTTTACACATCAGCCAATTTTTGTCACCACTACACAGTTCCTATCATTTATGAAACCACCATCAGTTACACAATTCTCACCAGTTATATGCCACCCATATTGAAATTTTCATCAACCTGTTCAGAGATGTGGTTACACAGCTCTGAGGCAGTTGGGAATTGAATCCAGGCCTCCTGCCTGAGAGGTAGGGACACTACTGCTGCATCACAACAGCCCCTATGCCACCCACACAGCATTCAGCTGCTTCCTCAATAACCTTCCACTCATCAGAACTGAAGTTATTCATTGATAATCCAAGTAGACCCAAGCAACATCCAGGATTGGGCTAATGAGCACCAAGTAACATTCAATTCACACAATTGGCAGGCATTGGCCACCTCCAACAAGAGAACATCTAACTACCTCCGTCAAACCTCTGCGGCATCACTGAGTTTTCACCATCAACATTCAGGGCATTATCAATGACCAGAAACTAGTGGTTTCTAGAAACCTATCTTCTAGGAAACTAAAGGGCATTACTGCTGCCTCACAGCGCCAGGCACCCGTGTTCGATTCCAGCATCAGACGACCGGCTGTGTGGAGTCTGCAAGTTGTCCCCATGTCTGTGTGGGTTTTATCCCACAGTCCAAAGATGTGCAGGCTAGGTGGATTGGCCATGCTAAATTATCCGTAGTGTCCAGGGATGTGTAGATTAGGTGAATTAGCCATGGGAAATGGAGGGTCACAGGGATAGGGTTGGGAGATGGATCTGGGTGGGATACTCTTTAGAGGGTTGGTGTGGACTCAATGGGCTGAATGGTCTACTTCCTCACTGTAGGGATTCTATGATTTAAGGTCCTACAGAACAAGGGCTGTTGCATATTCCATTAGAGAGAGCTCACCTCTTGACTCCAGGCTCATTCCTGTTGAACCTTCTGTGTGTCCCTATCTACTCTCAGTGCCACCTTCAAAGCAGTAACTGGGACATGTTGGCCAACCTAATCTGCAGAGAAACAGCAACCGGTAATGTTAATGGACTAAGCCCTCACCTCATGCTCTGAGGACATGGGTTTCAATCCCACAGTGGAAACTGGAATCAAATAAACATTCTGGAACTCAGAATATATCCTAATGGAAACCATTTAGGTTTCCTAGTGATGGCCTAGTAGTGTTATCATTAGACAATAAATAAATATCTGGAATTAAAAGTCCTATTGGTGACCATGAAACCATTGCCGATTGTTGGAAAAACCTATTTGGCTCACTAATGTCCTTCAGGGAAGAAATCTACCATCCTCACTTTCTCTGGTCTACATGTGACTCCAGACCAACAGCAATATGGTTGACTCCCAATGGCCCTCTGAAATGGCCTGCCAAGCCACTCTTTTCTATCAATCGCTACAAGTCTCAACAAAGAAATGAAACCAGATGGACCACCTGGCATTGATCTAGGCACTGGAAAAGACAACAGCAGAAACAGCCCTCTCAACTCTGTGAAGTTCTCCTTACTATCATCTGGGGGTGGGGGTTAGTGCCAAAAATTGGGAGAACTGTCTCACAAACTAGTCAAATAACAGCCTGACATAGTCATACGCACAGAATCATACCTTACAGACAATGTCCCAGACACCATCACTATCCCTGGATATGTCCTGTGCCACCAGCAGGACAGACCCAGCAGAGGTGGTGGGACAGTGGTATACAGTCAGGAAGGATTGCCCTGGGACTGCTCAACCATTGACTCCAGACCCCATGAAATCTCATGGCATCAGGCGAAACATTGACAAGGAAGCCTCCTGATGGTTACCACGTACTGTCCTCCCTCAACTGATGAATCCGTACTCCTCCATGTTGAACAACACTTAAACGAAGCACTGAGAGTGGCAAGGATGCAGAATATGCTCCAACAGGGGGACTGCAATGTCCAACACCATGAGTAGCTCAGCAGCAGTACGGCTATTCTAGCTGGTCGGGTCCTAAAGGACATAGTTGCTAGACTGGGTCTGCGGCAGGTGGTGAGGGAACCAACAAGAGGGAAAAACACACTTGGCCTCATCCTTACCAATCTGCAGATGCATCTGACCATGACAGTAACAGTGACCATCGCACAGTCCTTGTGGAGACAAAGTCCCGCCTTCACGTTGAGAACAACCTCCATCGTGTTGTGTGGCACTATCACTGTGTTAATTGGGACAGACTTCGCACAGATCTAGCAACTCAAAACGGGGCTTCCATGAGGCACTGTGGGCCATTAACAGCAGCAGAATGGTACTCCAGCACAATCTGTAACCTCACGACCCAGCATTTCCCCCACTCAATCGTTACCATCAAGCCAAGGGGTTAAGCCTGGTTCAATGGACAGTGCAGGAGGGCATGTCGGAGCAGCACCAGGTATAACTAAAATGAGGTGTCAACCTGGTGAAGCCACCAAACAGGACTACTTGCATGCCAAACAGGCAAAAGCAGCAAGTGATAGACAGAGCTAGGTGATGCCACAACCAACGGATCAGATCTAAGCTCTGCAGTCCTGCCACATCCAGTTGTGAATGGTGGTAGACAATTAAACAACTCACTGGAGGAGGAGGCTCCACAAATATCCCCATCCTCAATGATGGAAGAGCCCAACAAATCAGTGCAAAAGATATAGCTGAAGCATTTGCAGCAATCTTCAGCCAGAAATGCCGAGTGGATGATCCATCTCAGCCTCCTCCAGCGGTCCCCAGCATTATAGATACTAGTCTTCAGCCAATTCGATTCACTCCACATGATATCAAGAAATGGTTGGAGACACTGGATCCTGCAAAGGCTACGGGCCCTGACAACATTCCAGCAATAGTACTGAAGACTTGTGCTCCAGAACTTGCCGCTCCCCTAGCCAAACTGTTCCAGTGCAGTTACAACACTGGTATCTACCCAACAACATGGAAAATTGCCCAAGTATGCCCTGTGCATTAAAAGTAGGACACATCCAACCCGGCCAATTACCACCCCATCAGTCTACTCTCGATCATCAGTAAAGTGATGGAAGGTTTTATTAGCAGTGCTATTAAGCAGTGTATACTAGGCAATAACCTGCTCAGTGATACCCACTGAAGACATCTCACCACCACTTTCTTAAGGACAACTAGGGACGGGCCCAACCACTGATGCCCACATACCATGAGTGAATAAGAAAAAATGTAATGATTGTCGTAAATACACAACTGGTTCAATAGTGACCCTTGAAGAAGGAAGACTGCTGCCCTCACCTGGTTTAGTCTACATGTGACTCCAGACCCATGAAATCTAGGTGAATCTTAACTGTTCTTTGAAATGGCCTAGCAGGCTACACAGTTCAAGGGCAGTTACAGGTGGGCAACAAATTCTGGCCTAGCCAGCAGCACCTACAATCTGTGAACGAATAATAAACATTCCTGATTTGTACAAAGTGTCATTACCTTATGCCTTTGCACCAGGCTACAAGAAAGTCTTGATGTAACATCAGTGCTGGAGCAGGAACTACAGAGGTCCTGTAGGTCCTGCACTGTGTGCCTGGCAGACTGTGTGCAGTTTATGCCAAAGATGACAACTCATTATCTGTATGAGATGAATGCTTGAAATGTTGTGAAGAAAGTTTACGACTAAGAGAGGCAGGAAATAGAGCCAAAAACCCCAGCCAGATTATCTTAAGTAAAAATAAAATCTGCAAACAGCATTGCAGAATTCCAAACATCAAGCAGTTACAATATCCAGAGGCTGATAGATGCAAATAATATTATAAAGACAATAATATACTCTTAGCTTAAATAGTTTCATGAACCATGGTCTCACATTCAGATGGACATCAGCCTCCAAGTTCCAAGACTGAGGCTTTACCCACATCTTTGTGTCATGTTAGAAAGATGTGATTATAATTTTACTTCATATGTACTGACCTTTACCATCTATGTTTTTGCAACCAAGGCAACAGAACGTGTTTGCAGAGTCAGTAATCTAACCAGAATTGGTTCAGCAAAAAAATCACAGCATCTGTTTGTAAAATTACAGCATTTCTTTGTAAAATCACAGCGCCTCTCTCTAAAAATCTTTTCATAAAATCAGTTGCTCTTCGTAAAATCAGTGCATTGCTTTGTAAAATTCCGTCTCTCTAAAAATCACAGCATCCTTGCAAAATCACGTCTGTAAATATCACTGCATTTCTCTGTAAAAATCACAGCAGCTTGCTGTAAAATCACACCATCTCTTTGTACAATCACAGTGTCTTTCTGTAAAATTCAGAATGTTCCTCTGTGAAATTGGATCTCAAGCAAGATTTGTCCTGTGATATGAAACTTGCTGTATTACCAAGTTATTTTTGGCAGTGAATCACATATGCATCAGTACACAGGATAATAAAACACGAACTCAGATAGTCCCATCTTTCCATGTATTTTTTCAAAGGGGAATGGAACAATTTTTCACAGCAACATGTTTTTACCACATTTAAGTGCATTCAGGCAGCCAGAGCAACTACAGACCTGAAGTAGATTG